TCACCAAAACTGGACAATAGAAGATTGGAAAAACCACATTCAGATGGAAGCATGGATCCATCCTGCCTTGTATCAACGCTTCAGGCTGCTGCTGGTGGTGTAATGGTGTGGGGGAGATTTTCTTAGTACCAACTGAGCATGGTTTAAACACCACAGCCTACCTGAGTATTGTTGCTGACCGTGTCCATCCCTTTTTGACCATGGTGGACATTCTTGCAGTTGACATGCCAATGGCACGCTCCATCTGTGTCACTGTGTTGTTTGATCAAACTGTACATTTTAGAGTGGCCTTTTATTGTGACCATCCCAAGGTACACCTGTGTAGGAATGATGCTGTTTAATCAGCATCTTGATGTGACACACCTGTCAGGTGGATCTTGGAAAAGGAGAAGCCCAAACTGACACAGATTTTAACAAATTTATGAATGGAATTTAAGAGAAATAGTAATTTGAAACACCTGAATTCAGGGTCATAGGTGTTTCAGGTCTTCGATCATCAGACACCCTCATATGGGCGACCCAGTTGAGGGTGATCAGTCCCCGGCTTGTGCCCAAGCAGCGCACTACACCATAGATCTGCCCTCTTGATCCACAGCCACCTTCAGGCTTTTTCTGCAACCTCACTGATGTTTCTGGTGTCTTGCAACCCTCTGATGCCAAGGAGCCTGAATGCCTGTTGCATAGATTGCCCTGGGAAGCCCACCTAAATTGGCTCACAGCGGGCCCTCCAACCACGCTCTCTTCAGGCCTCAAACAGCTCAAGGTATTTGGCCGTCTTTTGCTCATGGGCCTCCTCCATCCAGTCTTTGCAATATGCTCCCAAAACTTAGATAATAAATCTAGATAGTGCAGATCTATTAAGTGCATAAACAAGTCTGAGATCTTTAACTTTAACCTGTGAAAAATGGGAGCAAAAACTAAAGCGTTGGGTTTAAATTTTTGTTCAGTGTAGAAACCTGATAAAACCTTCAGCAGTTCAGATCAGTTCACCTTCAGATTCTGGATCAGTCTGCGGTGAAATCTGGCAACGGACCCCAAAAAAAGCCATCTAGGATTATAACTGTAACAACTCCAAACTCTTCAGTTTATCTTCAGTATACTTTTTCTTTCCTGCAGTGCAGACAGCTGAACAGAGCTGCTAATATAAAGCTGGTGGATCTGTCCAACTTGTTTCTAAAAGTTTTGTTTCTTTGTAAGCCTTCTATCAGATGGGCACCCTGTGTGACGAGCAGTCATGGCAGGAATGTCATCTTAATCTTATTTAATATCACAGGAGTATTTTACAATTTAAATTCTCCTTCAGATCTGTTTGCTGTGTTTGACTTCGTACGACTAAACCTGACGAACAAGAGGTTGCAGATGCAGAAATGTGTTCAAGGGCACAACGTCTATGTTTGCTCAGTTCATGTCTCCTTGGTTTGACTTTCTTTCAACACAACTCATGAGTGCATCGCTTTTCAGCAGCCAATTCACAAATCCTGGCAGGTCAGAGTGTCCTTGAATGCATCAACAACACAGAGTTCTTCGAGCGGTCAGCAGCATCGCCACGAGACAATTATGATGCAGCTTTGTCAACAGGAAAACAGATGACATGTCGACTGTGATCTCTTGGCGAGCTTCAAGTCTCTGCAGGCTGATTTGTACAGAGAGGAACTGTTGCGGCCTGAGGGACAAGTGAACACCTGTATCATCTTCCACCTGGATTAGTGTAAATGCTCCAAATAACTTTCCCCTGATATAAAACGCTGCTCTCTGCATCACCTGAGAAGCTGCTTTCAGGTGCGGACACCTGATCCATGTGTGTCAGAGAGTCCTCACTGAACAAACAGCTCTTTGTGTCAACCACCATGTTATCTCTGTCCCGTAGAAACCTTGTATCGACAGGCCTGGGCTGCTCATTGTGAGACATCAGATCAGGACGACACATTCAAGTGTTTACATGCTTCATAATACGGTGGATGGTCAGCTGAGGTCACAGCAGGACGCCGGCCAATCAGGGTTTTACATAAAAGAAAGGGGTGGCGCTATGAGGCTGACCGCTGACCCAGGATCTGTGCTGCTGTTGTCAGCAGGATGATACAAGGAGATGAAAAATGGGTCAGGATGAGGTCGTAGAACAAAGTGAATCAAAATGTGCGAGACAGCGAATAGTGTTTACTGACGCTGCTCCTCATTTATTTCTCCTGCTCTGACTTCTGGGAGGATAAATATTTCTTTATAGTCTCATCTAAACACATCTTTGGTTTTCATTTCTTTTTCTTGCTGTCGTTTCAGCAAATGAACACAAAATCTGTACGTCTGACCCGACAGCTGTCACTAAAAACAGTCCTGAGTTATACGAATTTAGTTGATTTCTCCAGGCAGATATTTCAAAGTGTACGAAAACAGAAAACAGCGAGAAGGTATTCCTAAAGTAGTAATGCCACAGTGTTACAAGTTCCATGTGGACTCAGCAACAGTCAGCCACGTCTCAGTCACACAGAGAAAATCCAATCCTCGGGAAGTCAGGAAATCCTTCAGGATAAACGTTTTGTTCGCTTGCGATCTAGCATTTACCAGCCCAATCCTGGCAGGAGCCGGCGGGTCCACGGTGTTAGCTGTCCGGGGAGCCACACACAGAGGCCGCAGGTTGCACAGATTCACCCTGCGCCAGCGGGGACGAGGAGAGCAGGGGCCGCGGGGCTGGAACACCTCATCCGGGCCGACAACAGGTACCAGCCAGGCGTCGACAGGGTCCAGCGAGTGCCGAGAAATAAAGAGGCGAGGCACCGCTCCATACTCAGTCCAAGAAGCCGTGGAAGTGCTCGCCAAATAGACCTTCAGCCTTACCAGCCGACCGCTGTGTTTACCCCGACGGTGGTGGCGCTTATGCCGGAGAGGTGGAGCTGGGGCGCGGCAGAGGTGAGCTGGGATCCCCGATAGGAGCGAGGGCAAAGTTTTCCCATCTTGTTGTTTCATTCATCCCCAAAACAAACACATGTGCGAGCCAGGTAAGCGTCTTTATGACAATACACGCTAGAGCTCATGGGAAATGTAGGCTTCATTCCAGCAAAACACTACCGCTTTTGTCCACAGGGTCGCCAAAATCAACTCAAAATGAAAGTTCCTTGTAGGGGCTTTAAATATAAAAAGTTTTTTTTTCTTTAGTGTATAATCACCTGAATATAAGAATCTTTGTGTTTTTGTTACCTTAGAATGAGCTGTTTATATCTACACAGGGAGCAGGTCTTCAGCTACAGAGATCACCGTGGTGCACCGCCATGTTTCTACAGTGGCCCAGAATGGACAAACCAAACACTGGCGGTGCGCTTTTTTCCGTTTCCACAGTGAAAAGTTGTGGATGGTACCAATAGAACCGTTCCTAACCGTCCCCATGTTTGGTCCCCCCTCTGTTGGGGTACCTAGCACACAGATCTGGTACTAAAAGGTGGAGCTGTGAACACTGCAGTCTGATTGGTCAGTAGAGGACGGTCACTCTGCTCAGGGCTGAGTTGTGTCTGGTTTTGAGGCTCATGTAACCACTGTTCATACTGTGGAGAGTTTTATTAGTAAACTGTAACTATAAAATGAAAGGATGTTTTGCTGCCTCTCACAGCAGCTGGAGTCTGAGAAAAAATAACTTCATTCCGAAGTCATCAAATAGCGCCGCTTGGTCACTGATTTCCACGTCAGACACCGATGACAAACAGTCATCCTTTCGTGGTTGTATGATCAGATGTCAGCGCTGTCAGCTGGGGTGGCAGCAACTCAGTCAATAGGGAATTATCTCTATCACCACATTCTTCATGATGCCCTTGAATTCATTGATGGATATAAGTGTTTCTAATTTTAGATCTTTTTGAAGATTGTTCCACACCCATGGTGCAGAGTAGGAAAATGCAGTTTCCACAGATCTGTTAAAACCCAGGGTTCATTAAAAAGCAACCACATGGAGGAGCGTAGCTGGAAACTACCAGAGCTGACACACAGACGGGTGCAGAGGTCGTCTGGAAGTTTGCCCAGTATTGCTTTATATAGGCTGAATCAGTGATGAATCATCTAAATCAATCTGAAACAACTGATCAGAGCACATCATAACTGAGCTAAAGCAGCAGCACTACTTTTATTTTGACGAGGCAGCTGTGTGACTGCTTCCTCCTCCTGTGCTGATTAATAAGAGTTTGGTGATTCTGTCGTGTTACAATACATAAATACGTGATCTGTTTCTGTTGTGTTTTCATTGTTGGCTCGAACGTGTTTTTAGTTTTCTGTCGGGACAAAGTGGCGTCCAGCTGACGGCCGACGAACAAAAGAGGACAGGTCAGGTTCCACTTACCTGTCCTCACCTGGTCTCTTGTCTTTCTTCCTGTCCTCCTCGTCTTTATCTCAGAACATCACCTGAGAGGAGAGGAGAGGAGAGGAGAGGAGAGGAGGAGACAAGGAGAGGAGACAAGAGAGGAAACAAGACCACAGAAAACAAGAGAGGAGACAGGAGAAGAGAAGACAAGAGGAGAGGGAATGAGAGAAAACAAGAGGAGAGGAGACAAGAAGAAACAAGAGGAGAGGAAACAAGGAGCGAGAAAAAAATGAGAGGAAACAAGAGGAGAGGAAACAAAAGGAAAGGGAAATGAAGGGAGGAAACAAGAAGAGAGGAAACAGGCAACATCCTCCAGGAGGCGCTGCTGAGACTTCAGAGTTTTGATGTGACTCTTTCTGACTTTAACCTGATGAAGACCTTTTTACGTAACATTATTATGATTCCAGTGAATTAACTGGGAACACTGGTGGTATTAACAGAGTATTAAAGTGGTTTTAATGGTTTCCTCGGCGGGTTTGACGGGCTGGAATAAGAACATCACAGTGTTTCCTCTCATCCAGCAGATAAAACCTGAACTCCCACGTTGATCAGCAGCTGCTGACAGTCACGAGGAATAATGTGTGTGTGTGTGTGTGTGCATGATTGCCCTTGGAAGTGTGCCTCTACACGTGCAGATACGTGTGTGTGTGTGTAAAGAGGCCTAAATGACCACGTGTCTATATAAAAACATCCCAGTGTGTTTAAAGGGAAGATGGAGATCAGTTTCGTCTCTGAGTCCAGGATGTGGTTAGCTTAGCTTAGCACAAAGACTGGGAGCAGGTGGAAACTGTTAGCGTGGCTCCACTGAAGCAGAAACAAGTCTCAGGCCTCTTTCTAAGAACTCAGCAGGAGGAAATCCTCCGTCCTGAACCTCCACTATCATGATCAGAGGAGAAACTCTCTGATCCTTTGAACACATAAACTGACGGTGATGTCAGACTGAGGCACATGTGCTCTCACTTCAGCTGTCTCAGAGTCTGTAAACACAACCAAGAGATCAGCTTCAAAATCTCATCATGGAAATTTTTATTTATCATTAACTTTATTACAGAGTCACAAAGACAAGTAACACCCTGTTACGTGTGTGACCCACCACGGGAGATTTAAAAAGTAGCTGATAGCAGTTAGCAGCTAACTCAAAGAAGACGAACAATGGTAAAAAATGTTCGCCAACTGTGAAAAAAAAAAAAAGATGTCCAGGAGCTCCTTGCCATCCAAGCAGAAGACGAGATCAGTCGCCATATAACATGGACAGTAAATGGTTGCTTTGACATGCATCCATTTTCGTTTGCTTATCCAGGGCAAAGTCGCAGGGGCAGCAGCCCGAGCAAAGCACCCCAGACGTCCCTCTCCCCAGCAACGCTTTCCAGCTCCTCCTGGAAGACCCCAAGGTGTTCCCAGGACAAATGAGATATATAATCCCTCCAGTGTGTTCTGGGTCTGCCCCGGGGCCTCCTACCAGTGGGACGTGCCCAAAACACCTCTAATGGGAGGCGCCCAGGAGGATCCTGATCAGATGCCCGAACCACCTCAACTGACCCCTTTTGACGCGAATGAGCAGCGGCTCTACTCCGAGCTCCCTCCGGATGTTTGAGCTCCTCCTTACCCTATATCTCTAAGGCTGAGCCCAGACACCCCACAGAGGAAACTCATTGCAGCAGCTTGTATTCACGATCTCATTCTTTCGGTCACTACCCAGAGCTCATGACCATAGGTTAGGGTTGGGACGTAGATGGACCAGTAAATTGAAAGCTTCGCTTTCCGGCTCAATTCCCTCTTCACCACAATGGACAGAACAGCATCACTGCAGAAGCCGCACCAAACCACCGATCCATCTCACGCTCCATTCTACCCTCACTCATGAACAAGACCCCGAGATACTTGAACTCCCTTGCTCGAGGCAGTAACTCTCCCCAAACCCGGAGGGGGCAATCCATCGGTTACCGGCAGAGAACCACAGCCTCAGATTTGAAGGTGCTGACTCTCATCCCGAACACTTGACACCCAAACCGCCTCAGGTCATGCTGGAGGTCACGGTGTGATGAAGCCAACAGAACCACATCATCTGCAAAAAGCAGAGATGCAATTCTGAGGTTCCCAAACCAGACCCCTTCCTCCTCCTGGCTGCACCTAGAGATCCTGTCCATGAATATCACAAACAGGATCGGTGACAAGGGACAACCATGGCGGAGGCCAACACCCACTGAGAACGTGTTTGACTTTACGCCAAGTATGCGAAGGCAGCTGTTGCTATGTAATGCCATTGTTATTGTTTACAAAGCATTGCCAACAAGTATACGTCACTCTGGAGGTCGACGCTGTTGTGTTACATGTCAGAATTGTCGAGGAGGCACTCTTTTTAGTTTGATGTTTTAAGTTTGACTCCAGTTCATGATCTCTGTATTTTCACTTTGATCATTTAGTCATCTATTCTTCCCTTCGTCTACTATTCTTGCACGTTTCTCCTTTTAACCAAGCTTTGTCACTTCCTCATAAAACTCTCCCCGTCCTCCACTTCTCCTCTTCTAACTTTCCTCCTCCTCCTCATTATTTCAGCTCCTGGGTCAATAAGTCAACATAACAGAGTCGACATCACTGACACTGAGCTGGGATTACCTCTGTGTGTGTGTGTGTGTGTGTGTATGTGTGTGTGTGTGTGTGTGTGTGTGGGCGGGTGGTCTCTGCAGTGGAAACAATGGAAACAGAAACACGTGGGGTTTCATCGTGCCGTCACGCTGAGCTGAACTCCAGCAAATTTCAAGCAAATGTTTCAGAAACTAAAATGTGAATCTGTCACGTTTCCTTCAGAGGAAACATCAGGTTTATGTCTTTTGGTAAAAATAGAACAATAAATGATTTATTGTTCAACATGTTTGTGTTGGTCAGGAGTCGGCAGCCGCTAGTGTGATATCTCAGCTTCTTTTCACGGGAAAGTCCACAACATACAGAGTTCATTAAGTGCCATCATCGTCACTTCAAACAGACGTTTGTACCCTAAATATTTTTTTGTGTTCTATAAAATTAAAATACGACTCCTACCTTCATAGGAACCACGCACTCAAAGTGTTTCCTTGTTTCCAAAAAGTTTTGTTTGTTCACAATTTATCAGCTGCGTCGATGTTTACAACACGACTACTGGAAGTTTTTGTTTCCCAGACTAGTCACGACACGCAAACACACACACACACACACACACACACACACACACATACACACACACACACAGATTAAAATGCCATGGTGACATAATCCTCAGATTGATCTCTTTGTTTTTGGTTGTGTGGTGTTGGAGGAACATGGCCGCAGCAGCAGAGCTGAACCACACTGTGCCAGGCTGCCTTTAAAGTGATGGATGATGTGTGTGTGTGTGTGTGCGTGTGTGTGTGCGTGTGTGTGTGTAATACCACACAGTTGTCCTGCTCCTCCTCAGAGTTGAGAAACTTTCCAGTCTGCAGGAGGAAACAGTTGATGAGAGTTAAATGAGGCAAAGCTGCTGCAGATGAAAATGCATTCGATTTTCTCTGATGATACAAACAGCGTCTCTGCCAAACAGAGCTGCACTTAACTTTAGTTTTTCCAGTAATATCATTTATTTATTTTATTATGAAGTTCAGGTTGTGATATGTTTTAAATGGGAGCCTAAATAATGATGATGAGTGGTCCATTTGTCTGTCCAGCACTGACACAGAACAATTTAAATCTCTGTCAATCATACTGTCTAATGATGTCCTGATCTGCTCACAAGACATCCTGAGCAGGAATTGTTTCTGTGTCCAGTTTTCTTTATGGATGTATACAGAGAACTGGATACAGCCTTCACACCTGTCAAAGTTGCTCAGTAGCACATGAAGCCAAAAAGTTCAGCTTCCCGCCAATAAAATTACTCAGATCTTCCACGTCCAGGGTTCCCACACATTTTCATGGACAAAAATTTCCAAACTTTTCCATGATTTTGTTTCTAAGGACCCATAAATAAAGATTTTATTTTCTTGCCCCATTTGCCTGCGTTTTTCAAACTCACTTCAAACTTCAAAAGTTATTTCAGCTAGCTGCCGGGAAAGTATGAGAGGGAGAGTATGACAAAATGTACATGAGGCTAAAAAAAATGTTGTCACACATCGATGCCTTTTATATACATGTACGAGCTACGTCGTACTTGTTGACAGGTACAGAAAATGAATTTGCCATTATGTTTCATCACGTGGAAGATTATCCACAGAAGATTACTGTAATAATTTCATTACTAGTCCATACCCATTGAGTGCACAGTTGCACACGTACAGTTTGACATGGTGTGTGTTTGGGATACAGGTCATAGGAAACTGCAGATTAAATAGTCAACTGAACCCATTAAGAAGAGCAATGTATTCAGACAGAGTGTTTGTGAATTTGATAGTACGATTGCTTTATTGAAAGTACAGTAGTACCATTGCCAGTAGTGGGATAGTTAGTGGGCTAAAACTGTACATTAGTAGTTGAGGTAGCACGTTGAAAGGCAGATAGTTAAAGTGTTTATATGTTGTGTTGACTTAAAAGTGGGGCGCACTGGTAGTTCACATGGGAAAGGTCCAGCTAGCCCTTGTTGCAGCAGCATACCATACCATGACTTAGTCATACCAAACATTAGAAAAAACCCAACAACATTGGTCCACAGGGGGAGCCACAGCGATTGGTCGCATTTTAGCCATTTTGAAGCATTTTTCTGTTGTTATAGCGCCACCCAGTTGCCAATTAGAGTTATATTTTTCCAGTCACCTTGAGGCGTCCTGTTCTACATATCTACCAAGTTTAGTAAAAATCCATATGGCGGTTAGGCCTAGATAAGAAATGAGCTCTCTAGCGCCCCCATTTTGTTTGATGGGGTCAATAATGGAGGGGTCCCCTCAGATTATGTGTGGTCATATGCCTACAAAGTTGCGTGGTGATGGGTGAAACCCTTGAGATGTTATACACCTTTATGTGATGAGCCACGCCCTCCGCAATATTCATTGCCTTATAGAAGCTCAGTTTTAGTAAGTTTTCCAACTTTTGCCAAGAGGGA